GTAAAATCGCTGTGGTTCTAAATTCTAAGTATTTTGTTTGTTCATTGTCCTGTTCTGACATGGACGGGCTCATAGTGAGAACTCGTTAGGCAGAAATTTTTTTACACTGCTCTCTTTTTAAGCTAAATCCATGGGTATAAGATTTGATGGCTCAGATACAGTGCTAATGAGCATTTCTTAGCATTGCACAGGACATTATTTGCATTCAGTTAAATATAGAGGAAGTGTGGTTAAGTGTGAAAGAAGTTGCTCCAGGGCAGGTTTAGGTTGGACATTAGGAAAAATTTCTTCACAGAAAGGGTTGTCAGGTACTGGAACGGGCTGCCCAGGGAAGGGGTCGAGTCCCCATCCCTGGAGGTATTTAAAAGCCAGGCAGTCGAGGTGGTTAGGGACATGGTTTAGTGGTGGGATGGCAGGGTTAGGGTAACGGTTGGACTTGATGATCTTAAAGGACTTTTTCAACCTAAACGATTCTATGATTCTATGAAAGGTTCAGAAAGCATGGCTGAATCCAACCTGGTACCTATAAAGCAGAATGAAGAAGTTGCGTGATGTGATTTCCAGTGAGAAGCATGCGGTAGTTGCTAAGTCTCATACTTTCTTATCTGAAACGTGGATTTGGTTACCCCACAGAGCATGGTAATGCTATGTTTAGTTACAGGATAAAAATAGGCTGGGATGAGAAATGATCTGGTTATGCGTTATTTCTGGTTAGGATGATGTGGTTTGCGTAAAGGCTTTATTTTCCTACCATTTAGTAGCTACCAGGTCAAATGGTATATGATCCTTTGCTGCTTCCAGCAAATTGAGTGTTCATGAATAATAAAGTGGCTGTGAATCAGGCTAACATCTGAGCTGGCCGGCACACGCCACCTTTGGAAGGTAAACTGGGAGAAGAATTCTTCATTTACCTGTATTTTGGTATCTGATCAAAATCAAGGAAAGTGAATCTTTGAATAAATAAATACATTGTTTTTAAGGCAAAAATACCTAAGAAATAAATAACTTTTGAATGGTTTAAGAATTTTTTAAGAAGAATATAGCCTCCTGATGTGAATGCTCAGCCAGTCTTGTTCATGCAAACATGTGTACCAAATACCATGTTAAATTGCTTAGATTAGAAGGGAAATCTGTACCTGTGACTTGATATCAGGCATTACTAGAGAAGGTGGAAAGCTGAATGTTAGGGAAGGAGTCAACTCTTATCTCTCATAGCAATTCAGGCTTCGAGTATTTTTATTTACTGTCCATTGGAAATTCCAAGTCAGATTGACAACTCTGCATAGAATCACCTGCATTTAATTTCCAAAAGCCGGTAAGACCAGATACTCTCAAAATTGCTGAGAGGTTTGCTCTAAAAAAATGAGATTTAGGAAATGCGTCTCAATGTTGTTTTCTTTTTGCGATCTTTGGGGTGCTGTTTTGGTAAATTTAAAGGGATGGGGAAGAATAAATCAGAAGCCACGCTTCTCAGATAAACATGAAATTAAGGCTCATCACAAGACTCACAATAAACTCACCCTGCTAATCTCTTCTAACATTATTAAAAACACCAAGGGTTTTTGCTGTGTAGTAAGTCTTACGCCAACTCATTGCCGTAGACCACTGCAGGAGTGCATTTGCAATGAAATTGCGATGCTTCACCATATTACCAGCTGATGCAAGGATACAGAGAGCTGAAAAATGATGAGCTTAGATTAGGCATTTAGGTGGTGTCTGAGTGTTCTAGGGCAGAATGGGGCAAGGAATCAATGAAATATTTAGGATTTAGAACATAAAATTGTAATTCTACTAGAGAGAATTTTTCCTGTATTTGTGTTCTGTTCCATTTTTGCATGGTGGCTGGCATGCGTCCTGAACCAGTGTCTAAAAAACTGGCAAAATTATGCACAACTCCTGACTCATGGGATAGGGTGGGCTAAAGATAGACACGGTACAGTGGCGTGAAGATACATCTGTACCAAGATGTGTTGTTGCTCTACTTGGTATTCTTAGTGTGACCTACTAAAGGGTAGGAATCTTGCATTCTCTTTGAAGCCCATCTTCATCTGATCTCCAAATATTTGTGGAGGTTTTCAGAGGCTTTTGTTCTGGATGAATACAGAACACTGAGGGTGTGGGCATGCTAACTTGGGCACAGTGCTGCAGGCAAAGAAGCTGTGTGCTCTTGTTGCATGCAGCTGTTTAAACGGCTCTTCTTTTTCCCTTTTCCTTAGTTTCCTTGACATGCGCAGAAAGGAAAAACCTTCACCCCATCTAGATATCTCCACAATTAAAATAAATCTATGAAATAAAATAGGTTCCCAGGACCAAGTAGGCCCATGAGCACCACCTCTCCTTAATTCAGGCAAAACCCCTCATACTTCTGCAGTTTTGTATTACAGCTGGACTCTGTTTAATAATGGCAGATTTCTCCATAGTCAATAAAATGAATTACCGGATGCCTGCATCTTAAGAGGCAAACAAGGGCAGGGTAGAAGACCTTGTAATTTTATGTTGAAGAGCCAGATGTTTCCACCCGTTTTTCGTTGCTGTTGTCTGATGGTGGCTTTTTTTTTGAGTGGGATTGGAACTAGAGAAATTTGGCCGAGAAACAAGGTGCATGATCTTAATTTTAGTCAGAATTTTGAAATTCTGGGTTAGCTCTGGTCTTATTGAAGTCTATGATAAAGCTCCAGAATGACAAGGGGAGCATTTTGCCATGCCGTGCTGTGAGGGTCACCTAGATAGTCCCTTTTCTGTTGTGCCCACAGCAACTTCCTTCCCAGTTTTGTGAAGCAGGAGAGAGGACCTCTCCTGGAAGCACCTCCTTCTGTGTGTGGAGAAATACGGCATTTGCACAGGCTGCTGTTGGGCTGAGAACCCTTTGCCATGGCATAAACTGAGTTTTGAGGTTAACCCCCCTCTCTGTATTCTCTTGGTGAGCCCTTTTGTAAATGGTACCCAGAGCTGCTGATGCATTTGGTATAGGTGGTTCCACGTCCCTGCCTGCAGCTTTGCATACTGAGGCAGCAGTGGGTTCTATTTCAAAGATGGATTTCAGGAAGTTTGGGTTTTAGCCACATTCAATATCACCTTATGAGGTATTAGATCTCAATCCTACTGAAGATTGCAGTTTCTGATGGAGGAAGCACTGATAATCTTATAATCCATGGAATAGTTATTGCTACTATAAAATTAATCCAGTCAACCTAACATATTTGGAGACATTAATGATTGGAATTCATGTCGTTAGACAACAGACAAAACATTCCTCAACCCTTCCTCCACAAGTCAGTCTTTGTTCTGAATGTGTCTAATGGGCAGAGATGTTTCTAATCCAGATTTCCCAATTGTTTTGCTTTTTCTTTTTTCTTTTTCCAATTGAGTGGCCTCTGGTTTTTCTTGAGATTAATGAGAGCGCTGATGTATTTGGTTACTGGAAAAAAAAGCCTCATTTGTGTATTTATTATATAATTATACTATATATACTCTATAGATATATATAAATATTTGACTCTCTGCTCTATACTGTTTGTGATGGGTCGCTGTGGCAGTTTCTAGTACACGCATTTTTTGCTAATTAACTTTTGCAGTGATGATTAAGCTAAATATGATGCCTTCACTAAAGCCTTGACTTTTTCAAGAGCATAGGATACAGCAGCAGCAGTTATGTGACAATGTTTCCTAGTTCGTTAAGGGTGTTTAGAATTTTTCAGCTTACAAAGAAGAAAAATAGATGGTACATCTGATGACCAATATCAAAAAAAAGCTGAGCCATGAGGGGTATAGCATGTTAAGTTTTGATGTGCAATTCAAAGGCCAATATTTCTCTGCAACTGAGGTGCTGTACAGTTTCACATGCATAATTACTATGACTTAGCTTAGTCTTTATTCTGTTAATTTTGGGATTTAAGAAATGTGAGCCAACCTCATGTTCTTTAAAAACAACATAGTGAGGCTTTCCTGTTGAAATGTCTTTGTAAAACTTTTGTTTTATGAGTGAATAGCCAATGGTCTTCCCTCATAATGAAAAAAAATTATTTTGCAGAATCCTCCAATGCTACTTTATTGACCAATGCAGAAAAAATTGCTACAATTACAACCACACATACTCCTCAGCAAATACCACAGGAGACCAGGTCAGATTGTTTTCCTTGAGGAGAGCATGTTGACATGCTCTCTTTTTGGTTACTTCTTGATCATCTTCACATCCCATGAGCTGTGTTTTTCTTCTCTCCCTCTTTCTCTCGTTCATTACAGCAGGAACAACACCAAACCAAAGCAGGAACCCCAGTTTGATTTCAAACCACCCCAAGCAGCACAGGTAAGGAGTACCTTTCAAATTGAAGTGTTTACCACAGACTGTTGCTTCCAATCTGCCTGAGACCTATGTTCAAATATTTCCCTTGAAAATTCCTAGCGGGAAGCCGTTCTCCCTCAGTCTGCTGGCTGAAGAAAGAGGAATTTGCTGATTAGCTTCTTAATACGTGTCGCTGCTGTTTCAGCCGAGAAACATTTCCAACACATTCTCATCAGGAATTTAGGGAGAACACAAATAAAGAAGAAAAAAAAAAGCTGACATTTTTACAACAGTAATAATTTGTGTGTTTGTCTCTTGAATTGTATATTTTGAGGGGCCTCTCCAGAAAGTACTGTTGTGTGCAAATGATAAATTCAGCAGGCAGAAAAGAGGAAAACTTAATAAGGGGCAATAGCTGGAGTGTTCCAGCTTTCAAAGACGGCATCTTATTAGAGAGATTATCTATCTCACTGTTAACTTTCCTTGCCACTGGCCATCCCAGAAGTAACCTCTTCCATGAGGGATTTCAGAACATCCCTACGCTAAAAGCATTTGTGAAAAACAATGCACGTACTTCTGAGCTTCTTGCAAAGGAATAGCTGAGGTGGTAACAAAAAGGAAAAGCCAGCACCATGGCATAGACTCATCCCAGGTACCATTAGACATTTAACTAAAACCTGGCACTGGAAGTGAGGTTGTCCTAGCCTTCCTCTGCAGTGGGTGGAACGCTAACCACCCCCCAGAAGTGCGCCTTTTTGCCCTGGGCACAGGAGGTGGTGTATAACAGAGGTGCCGAAAAATACATGGGACATGGCCGAGCCCATTCATCCAGACAGCCCTTTGCAGACCACCGCCGGCACTCCAAATTGCAGGGTGGGATCTGAGGAAGCAAGAAATCCTAGTCTGTGTGTGAAAACGCGACTGATTTTCTTATTTTAATTATGAGTAACAAAAATAATAATATTCGTTCATTGAATAATTGAAAAATGAGAGTAGAGCAGCATTTACCTTTCTGTTCAATTGCGCGTATGTTGTCTTCCCTCCAGCAGGACCAAGACTTTTACACTGTTGAGCTGGAAAGAGGAGCCAAAGGGTTTGGCTTTAGCCTGCGAGGTGGCCGGGAGTATAATATGGATCTGTACGTGTTGCGGCTAGCCGAGGATGGTCCAGCTGAGAGATGTGGGAAGATGAGGGTATGAACAAACAGATTTAAAAAACCACACTTCTTTGTAACAGGCTGACTTCCCTGCCTCTCTCCTGCAGGCACACCTTCTGCTGTGTCAGCTCAGAGGAAAAATAAATGTGAACTGAAAGGAGCAGTGGGTCCTATTTACTTCTGCCAATGGCTTCTGTCATCCTTTGTATATAGTCTATAATGGTGTGCATGGATTGGAAGATTTCACCCCCTTGTTCCAACCCGTGTTTCCAAATTCTAATACATAATCTGACTTTTAAAGCCTAACAAAGATATGTGTAGCAATGAAAATGTAATAGCCGCTATCTTTGCCAGCTCCTTTAAAGCCAGAGCCATGAGTAGAGAACTGGGGTGTCCCACCTGATCCTCTCCTCTGCTGGGGGGTGTAGTGGTGAGGGAGCATGTGTACTGACCCATGGGGTGCAAAATTACAGTGTAGTTTTTGATTAGTATTAACTGTTAACTTCACATATCATCTAAATTATAGACATTATAACAAGGACATGTGTTATAAAACGCCTACAGAAAAATTAAATTGCCAAGTTTTATGTACTGCTTGCTCCTTTCTTAGAGAACGCATGATAACTTTACAGCACGTGTCTTTTTCTTTGGATATATCGCGTGAAGGGCATTTTCAAAATTCTTTTGCTAGGGGGAGATTTATAGGTCCAGAATTTTTGCTGATGAAAAAAAGATCAGTGCTGCCCTGTGGAAGCCGATGCTTTGACAAGCTCTTCCAAGCCCTGTTTACCTATCCTGATAAATGATTATATTTACCAAAGCAGCTTTACTGGTTCATCGTAGGTATCTATATCCAAGCAAGAAACAGACCTGAAAAAGCTATTTGAACATCCCAGTTACAGCAGACTATAAAACAAACAACCACTTTGAGCAAAGACTTTATAAAAAATGAAAATAAAATAACACTAGTTCTAACACAGCTCTCTAGGGATTGAGCAATACAGTAATGCAAGGTGGCTTTACAGAACAGTGATGAAGTATTTTGATATCTCAAGCTTTCCCTGTCACCTTCATGTCTCCCAGGCTCCTGCATACTGGTTTTTGTGCCACTGGAAGGAGTTGGGCATATTTGGCTTCACCTGGAGCATAGTTCTTCTTCCACCTTCGCTGTGGCCGTTGTCCTGCGGCATGCTGGTGGTGACCCTCGTCAGGGCTTGTTTCTAATCTTAGCCTCTTTTCTTTAATTACATTGACAGATCGGTGATGAAATCTTAGAGATCAACGGAGAAACTACCAAGAACATGAAGCACGCTCGGGCCATCGAACTGATTAAAAATGGTGGCCGCAGGGTCCGCCTGTTTCTGAAACGTGGAGATGGCTCTGTCCCAGAATATGGTGGGTCAAACTATGAAAACATTCCTTTCTTCCCTGGCATCACTCCATGAATGATTTGTCTCAAGATCTGAAGCAGGAATTCTTTTTTATTTTCCTTTCTCACCAGTGTCTTACCAACCTTTGCAACATATGGTTAATTGCCTCGCTTGTGCTGAATTTTCTACACATTTCATCCTTTGCTTGCTTCCATGGACTTGGGGCACAGTGTAAGGCAAGATCATCATAGCAGTATTTTTGGTGATCAGAGAGGAAAACAAAACAAAACAAACCTTATTGTCTTGTCCAGCCAAACAAGGAATGTCATTGAACTGTGCCAAACTGTTTCTCAGCAGCTGAATTGTTGTTTCAAATAGGTCTCTACTTTAATCAATGCAAAAACTGGGATCCTGAGTTATTATTCTGAAGCAGTGATTTTTTTTTTTCTTTTTTGTTAGGTTTTTCTCTTAGTTCCTGTCTGTATCCATAGACATGAATGCCAAGATGGCTTACGAGATTTTTGCCTTCCCTTAATATTTATGTAAATATTTATAAAGTTATTTAAGAAAAAGAAGAAGAAAAAAAAAAGCTTTACTGCAAAAATATATTGATTTGGCCTCCCGAGCCCTTTTCTGCCCCCTTAAACTGTCTGCTGGTTTCAACTAGTTAATTTGTAAGGTCTGAAAAGGTGGGGAGGTTATGAAAAGGTGCTCTCATGTCCGTCTTGGGGGAAACATTCAGTCCTTGTTTCTTACTAAGAATTGCATTAGATTTCCTTTTCTTCCCCCGGAGGTTGGATTGCTGGGTGGCTTAACATAGCACACTATTTAATATTATAATTATGTCTTATTTATTTGAGATAATTGTCAAATATTGTGCCCTCGATGGAGGGCTACTCCCAACCAAAGGTCTTTGAGGTTTCTATAGAAACTGATGATTGAAGGGATGTCCTTTATACTTTTCTCCCCGTATTTGGGTTATTTCTGTGTCAGTAAGTTCTGTGTTTATCATTCACTCCGTGTCCTAAAACCAGAAACAAAACCCTTCTGCACATTTATGAACTAGATTTTCTTTTCATTTACTGTACCACGTTTGAGAGTTTCTGCTCACTCTGCTCATTATTTCACTTAAAATGACCAATTCAGAGTACAACCAACAAACAACTGAAGTGTTTAACAAAATGGAAGGGAAGTTGTGGGTTTACACTTCTGTACTATAAATAGCACACCAGAAGGTTCAATGATGGCACTGAAATTCTGTAATGTTCTTTCTACTTTTGTCTTTTCCTATACTCCTTTGGATGTACAGTACTGTATCATATGCTAGACTGCATAAGTACCCTGTAAATTAAGTGCTTCACTTCTCAAAGCATATGTCTGTTGCACTGAGGATGGAAATCCACCACCCATTTTCTTTTGGCTAATGCTAAACCACTAAACGTTCATTCTCCAAGCAAGGATTTAATCTACAGGGGTTGCACTACTGTAAAGACTATCCTTGTAACATTTGGGACTCCTTCCTCTCTTCGTTCTGTTCGCTGCAGTCGCAAATGGTTCCTCTAATAATGTTAAGTTCCAATATTTTTCTGACTCAATTGGAACGTGCTTCTCTATGAGGCTGTATATTTTTGTAATGAGTTTTGTACTTATTTTTAATGTTGTGGTCTCTGGTGGACTTTATTTTTCGTCGTTGTTTGATTGTTAATGTTTTTTCTATGACATTCTGTGTCGCTGTTCCAGCTGTCTTTTAGAATGGATGCTCTCGTTGTCTGGGTTATTGAATCACCTCTTAGATGTCTCTTTATGTCACGATAATAACAACTGCTGTCTTTGCAGCCTTATATTTGGGTGAAGCCTAGACAATCTGACTGGAAAAATAAACTTTCTTTATTCTAAGATAAAATATGAAGATTTTTCTTTCTTTCATCTGTGTTATAGGGAATCTAAATTTTCTACTTTTCTCTTTCTCTTTCTCTTACTTTTCTTGGTGCTGGGCTCTTCCTTCCTCAGCGATGATACCTCCTAATATCGCTGCATGTATGAGAAATGACAAGCTCGGGGAGTCTTGCTTCTACCTTATGGGCCATAATCAAACTACGGTTTGTAGCTAAAATCAATATTAGGTGTTTTTGTGCTGTGGCCTAATTCCCTCACATTGCTTTCCGCTTCGCTATATTTTATATGTACAGCAATTCATTCCGAGCACCCTGCGTCCCCTGAATTGTAAGTACACCACAGGACACGTTTAAACCTCGCTTGTACCTTGTGCGATAGCCAGGTTGCCGCAAGCCACGTGCTTACAGCTACGGAAAAGCGGTGCGGTCCCCAGCTGCTGCCTGAAAGTGCTAATAAGCAAAAATGCACACACGTGAGTCGCAACACGGGGTTCACCTGGAAATCACAAAAATCAAGGCCCGTGCACACACCGACCTTCCCAAGCTAAGGAATGGGAATGCCATCAAGTGGGAGACGCTTTGCGTCATGGCAGGAGGAATGAGCATGTAGAGTGTTTGGCCGGGGGGAGGGAAGACAAAAAGGAGAAAAACAGAAAAAAAAAAAAAAAAATCTGTCCCCACAAGTGTTCGTGTGGGTTTTCAGCCGTTGCCATCAGGACAGCCCACCTCGAGGTGGGCGTCTCGGTGCGAGCGGCGGGAAGCCTGCAAGACGTGCAGCTCTCGCCAGCCGAGCTGCCGTGCAGGAGTGGCTTTAAAAAAGAAAACAATAAGCAAATAAAAGCAATGCTCGCATTAAGCCAGCGCTGCTACTTTAATGTTTCCCATGTCTATAATGAATCATTCATAAACATCCGTTACAAATGACGTGAGTAATTGTGGCTTAGCTGCAGCGCGGGGCTGGTTTTTAGTTTTAGGGTTGTGGTTTTTTCCTTCTGCTTTGCAGTTTGTCTCGCAGAGGTAGCTCAGCTGTATTTTACCTGAAATACTGCATTAACACTAATGAACTGGAGATTGGGTTTTAATCAAAGCCATCCTACATATTACAATATCTTCCCATTGCTTTGATATGAAAAAATCATAACTTCTGTCATCGTTGTTCGAATCATTGTGGCAAAACCAAAATCTACCCTAGGACTTTTCATAACGTGGTAGAACTAAGCGAGATTAAGTAATGTCTTAAAGGAAATGGAAATTGCATGATTACAGTCTAATTCTCACACCTTAAAAATGTTATTTTACAAGGTGAAAACTTAATAATCAATTCTATTTTCTGTACATTTTCTGCTATTTGAAACAAGGCCTCCCACACCTGGAAGGCAGTTCTTTCAAAAGACTTAAAAGAAAAATACCGTTTCCTAAAGGCCCTCCTTATTGGAAACTGTTAAAAAAAAAAACAGCCAGCAACCCGAACGACAATATTTTTTTTTCCCCCACTGGAAAGAAAGTAGTGTAACTGAAACATTATGAATTGGGCTTGGGGACAATATAAAATGCCCCATGACAAGAAGAGCATAAAGATGATATCGGCTTGGACCAAAACACAGCTAACGAACAGAGCAGCACCAGTACTAACCTGTAACTCTCGTTGTTCGCAGTTAAATTAACAAAAGCTTTGGTTAGCCTTCGCTGACTGCTTTAACAGTTATTTGTTTTTGTCACTAATGAAGTCTGAAGAGTGATAAGTGGTGTCACGGCGCTGCGGAAGGCATCGGTACCAAACGCTTTGCTGTTATTTTCTTTCAGACCCCAGCAGTGACAGGAACAGTCCCGCCACAGGTTCACAAAATGTATCGGAAATGAAACCCGTGCCATCCGACCGACGGCAGCACCCATCATCGGAGTCCAGTTATCCACCAGACCTTCACAAATCATCACAACATGGGGACAAGCGGACTTACGTTAGAGACCTAAAAGGCAGCAGAGAGTTTAGCAGACATCCCAATGAACACCACACTTGGAATGGGACTTCTAAAACCAACGACCACGTGCCAGGCAGGAGGACGGAGAGGTCGCCGGAGAGGAGGCACGAGAGGCAGCCGGAGAGGGCAGTGGTGAACGGGCAGAAGCGGAGGTCTCCCGAAAAGCGGAGGGAAGGGACGAGGAGCGCTGACAACACTTTGGAGAGGCGGGAGCGACATGAGAGGAGGAGAGACCTCTCCC